GCATCTGGCACACTGCGGTCGATCGAGTAGGCCTGAGATATGTTTGCTTAATTTCGGTTAGAATAATTTTTTAACAGATTTGAAATAATTCAAGTGTCAATACTAGCAACTGAAAATATCATGTCGGCCGTGATTATGTGTGATAACAGAACCTAAATCGAGGTAAGGCTAGGCCTAGCCTAGCCTAGCTAGCAGTGTTGGATAGGCTAATGTTTTCAAACCTATCACAAAATCAAACATGAAAAATCCATCCGCATTTATTTTTTGTATCGAACACAAAAAAAAAAATCAAATTTCAGTCTTATTTTACATTTTTTTCATTTTAAATAGGAATGTCTAAATTCAGTTAAACTAGCAATTTTCGTATTATATTTATAAATCTTTATAACATATATAAAAATCAGATTTTTCTTAACAACTGAAATTTTTCTGGGAATGGGGCTTTAATCACAGCATGCATAAAAATAGCAAATGATACAAAATTTGCTTTCCTTGATTGGCATGTCAATTATTTCACAGAACAATATACAATTAATAACAGCTTAACGTCAATACAGATATATCACCATGACTGTATATATACACAATAATAACAAGTGTAATTAAACTATCAGCAATCCACATAAGCATTGTCACAATATAAACCATCAAATATCAATCATCAACTTCAGAGTGTGCAAAAGTTCATCTCTTGAAATTGCTATGGAATAACTGTGATGAGTGAAGATAAATTGTTAATAAAAATAAACATTTCAATTAATTTTTATATATTTAAATGCAGTAAATTGATTATTTAATTTAAAATGAGGAAACACAGTTTTTATTTAGTGACTTTTAATTAAAGATGCTGTCTTGTTAAGCTAACAAACTTGATTAACAAAGTTCAATATTTTTAAATGACTAATAAAATACACTTTAGTGCAACTAAGTTAGTAAATTTCTATTGGAAATTAAGATTCAGATTATTTCTGTATTTTTTGCACAAACATTTGTAGTAACCAGTTTGTAAAGAGTGCCAACTAACCTACTGAATCTTATACATTTTTTTTTTGTGTGAAATATTAATATCTATTAAGTGAATGAGTGCAGGGTTTTTTATGTTTACTCTTCCTGTTTGATTCTCTGATTAAAAAAATTCTCTCATTTTTTTTAGCCCAAGTTGGGATATTCCAGTGATGTCAGAGCAACAAAAAGAGAACATGCTAAAAATAACATGCCACACGTGCGGCGAGAAAGGCCACAAAGCTCAAAGTTGTCCGCAGAATCCAAGAAGGGTAAGTTTACAATAATAACATGTACACATGGAAATATCTTCTACTACCCCTCCATTCACATATTGCATTGATCCTTTTAACTATTTTATTTTAACTTCATTTAATTAGGATAGCTCGTGCAGCTCAACATTAATGGAGAGCTGATATTAAGGGGACCTCAGCAAACAAATATAAATTACACAGATAAAAGGAAAGAATATGTAATACTTATAACGGTATAAATAGCAATAATTCAGATGGCAAAAACAACAGCACTAACAATAGCAATTGCATATAGTAATAATAAACCAATAACATTAATATTAGTAATTATATTATATTATATATTATATTCATAATGTATCTCCAGTTAACAAAACAAACACAAATCAGTACTGCAAAATGTAATTACAAACCGCTGCAGAAAATTTTCAAGAAACTGTTTTTCTGCTTCAAATCACGCTGAATTCCAGAACTATTGAAAACCAAATCCAGTGAAGCTGAGCGATTTCGGTACCAATATTCTTATAAACTCAAAAGTTAAGATAAAGTAGTTGGAAGAGATACCATTCCAAAAAAAGGAATTTATCAACCCAGAATATGTCTGCTTTCAAGTGTAAGCAACACTCAACTCGTAACCATAAAAGCTAAGGTTATACAGCTTTCAGGATCCAAAAAGTTCAACACAAGAAATGGGCTAAAACTATTGCAGAATGTATGCTGATTGATCCATCATGTTCAATACAGACAACTATTTGGCAAAATTTTATTCACAAAATTAAACACCCAGACTGCAGGCAAAAAATGTTTGAAATGTTCAATAAGATGTCAATATGCAAGTGATACAAAGTTTTAAAAAATACGTTTTTTGTAATAAATTGATTTATAATTAAAATAAAAGCCTTTATGGCTATCTTGTTACTAAATCGTGGATTCAGATTATATAGTTTTTAATTACCCTAAATGCTTGAAAAATGTCGCGTCGTTGCTCTTAACAGTATGTTATTACCTTGTGTGTAATTAAGCAATTTTGGTTTTAAATACAATGTATACAGTGTTAAGATGAATAAATAACACAATGAATACTCAAGTATTTCTTTTTTTTGTATTAAAGTGTTTATTTACTATGACATTGGACCTACGATAGGCCTACAAAGCTCAAAGTTGCTTACTACGGGAATGCGAGATAGGTAACATGGGAGCTTTTACAGAATAAAGACATTGTTTTATTCCTAAATAAAAAGAAGTGTTAAAAATTGTATTTGTATATTTTATTATTTTGTTGACATTTATTATTTAGTTAAAAACTATATACATGACTTTCCTCATATTCACTGTTATTAATATTAATATTTTTGATAATTAAAATTAATTTATTTTAAAAACAAATAAAAATGTTTCTTTCACCACCCTGAAGCAGACCTAGTATCTCCTTATTCGGTTGAACTTAAAACAACACTAACAAATGGAATACATTAAAACATACCATACAAACAGAAAAAAAAAAATGCAATTTAGTAGCCACATGTACCTTTTAAGTAGCTCTTTTTTAATTGAGCAATTGTTTTAATTCTACCACCAGCCTATGCATGTGCTGGATGAGAACAAGGGATCAGGGCCACAGCAGTACAACAGCATACCAAGTAGGAGCACAGGTACAAGGGGAAATCTAGACCACATCATCTGTTACAAGGTAAAGTCGTATTTCATTGTAAAACTAATTAAAAATGTCTGGTGGTGGGATACACAAAGCCAGTAAAACTGTTAATAGTGAAATATAAAAAATCTTTTGCAATCTTGTGTTTTTTAGTTTCTGGAATTATGTTTTGTTTATCTGTGCTATTGGATTCTCTAGGGCAAACAGGTGTTATTTTAGTTTTTATCGCTTATATTCCGTGCAAATAGGCAATATCACAGAAGTACAAGTATAATGTTGTAACCTAATGTAATAGTATCTTGACCTCTTTTTTCTGACATCATTTTCGGCTTTTCTGCGGCTTGTTACATGAAGAGGTGGCTTCTTTTTGTATTTTAGAAGCTGTGCAATTGCTAATTCTTAAAACACATAGAATGTTAGATTCACATTTCCAAAAGAGGGCGTATTAAGCATGCAATAATCAATCATGCATTACTTTCATTCAGTATGTCAGGGGTGGCGCCAGCTGGGCCGGGGCCTAGCCATCAGCAAAACCTGGCCTAACTGTTGGAGAGTAGTGGTAAACTCTGTTAGGTAGAAGTAACTAGGATCATGTGCTAAGATAGAGAGCTGGCCTGAGAGTGCCATTTTTGGGTCTCAGCTGCGTTTACATGTTAAAGTGTTTTCAACTTAGCCTCAACTAATGCTGTTTTATTCTACTTTATTGAATTATACTACGTTAACTCAAATTCTTTTCTTTCTAGTGTAATGAAAGGGGACATTTTGCAAATAAATGCCCAACCAATTTACCAATGATCTTTGCTTCATGAGACAAGCTTCTGGAATCAAACATCATCCTTGCAATGGACCGAGATAGCACACATTACTTTACATGTTTTGATGGTGTGAGAGTGCCTTTTGCATTATAAGACCACTCTGAAGAGAACTATTAGTACATTCACTTGAATCTGTGATAACAATAATCCCAGATTGAACCTGGGTTTGAAAGTTCAGAGAAGATAGGTGAAGGTTGTGAGGTCAGCAGAGCAAGGTCACAATCACATGAGGTCTAGTGGAATAATTAAAAGCTGCTGAAAAGATGTATTTTTTTGGCCATGTTAGATTTTAAAACTGATGTATATACTACTACTTTTATACTTCTATACATAGGCTCTGAGTGGCAAGCTAGGCCTACAGTACTAGTCGTAGGCCAATGAACTAGTACACTAGTAGGCCAAACTGCTACTAGGCCTCATAGTACTTTGGCCTAGGAAATACATATTAAAATTCTATCACTGCAAGTAATCCTGTGTATTTTGTAGAGTTCTGTTGGTATTTCTTGTGATTGATACTTGGCTTGGGTTACAACCATCTTGTGAGTAGTGGGGCAGCCTCATACACTCCCCCATGCAAGAAAAAACTCACCAGAAACTATTACCTATCTCGCACAAATTCATGATATTTGCATATTTTTTATTGCGTTCCAACGAAACCCTGAGACTCGGGCCTCTTGTAGTTCTATAATCTTTGCTATAACCATGTGCAACTAAATATAATTAATAATTGTTTTAAGAAAATGCATTTAACCATATCGCCCAGAAGAAGCTACTTCCAAATTGGGACCCTAGATGTAGGCCAGTGTCATGTGTTGATCAAAATTTTAAATGGAAAATAGATGTAGTTGTGGTGACCTTTTAGATATCTTTGACAACTCTATGATGAATTGAAAATATCTCAACAGGATCTTACACTTATGGTTCAAACTTGACCTTCACTGTTCAGTTATATCTGTTTCTGAAGCGTTATCATTGAATATCTTGGCCAACATAGCAGTATGCCTTTAAAATATAAGGGAAAAAAACAAGACTGGTACGGACAAATCACAATATATATTATATATTAATATAAAAACTTGCAGTTACTGGCATATTCGTTGGAGCTCAAAAATAAATAAAATAATAACATCTGTTATATCTTGGTTATACTTACCCTTCCCAGATACTAACCGTCTCAATTTTAACATTTTCAAGCAGTGGCGTAATGATGGGGACGTAGCCCCTATGGCTTTTTGAGACTGAAGACCCTTTTTGGGTCCCGGTCGCCAATTCCATTATTGTAGGAATTTAGATGTGTTCGTCTTAACCATGTTTGTCATTGTATTCTAAATGCTTTTAACAACAAAATAAATGATATATCAATGGTGGATCCAGGGGTTTTAAATTGAAGGGGCCCCAGAGAGGGACTTTTACATATGAAGGGTCTATAGCACCTGAGGTAAGAAAATGTATGATTACGGCACCTCTAGTGGCCAGAAATGGCACTTACAATTTGTATAATTTTTTTTTTTTTATCTCTATTTAATTTCGACAAAGTTAAAGGCCCAGGGCTGGTAACAACCACCGTCTTCAATCCACCACTGGATATAATATACGTCCTACAGTCGATGTCAGAGACACTTTATGTTGTTACATATCAACAAAGCCCTTTTGGGTGAGAGTGCTAGATCAAGGATCCAATGTGTGTGTGTGTGTGGGGGGGGGCCCTGCGGACCGCCGCACTTGAGAGCCCATAGGCATTACACCACTGGTTCGTCCTTGACTGCTAAATGAAGTAGGGTTGCCCATCTATCATTCATGAAGGCCTTACAAGAGTTTGAGATGTTGGGTTAGTCAACCTTCCTGTACTTTTGCAATCAATACTATCGTAGGTATTATGTTACGATAATTCTCAGCTATGTATGTTCATTGACAAGAAATAATCACCAATGATAAGCAATTAAAAAAATAATACATACCTGAAGATCAAAGAGCATTAACAATAATTTCCTCCAATTTTTCCATGCATAACATGGGCACCTCTCCAATAGGCATATATCAATGAGTAGAAAATTCCAGAACCAAATATGGGACAGATATGAAGGGGTACAGTAATTAGAAATACATCGCGAGGGGTTATTATAAGTAACTGTGAGGAGACTGAAAAATAGTAACTTACAAGGCCGTAGCCAGGATTTGTAAGTGGGGTTCGATTTTGCTCAGAAAATGGCAAATTTTAGAAATTATACTATGTAAAATGGTTGATGGAGAAATATGCATATGCAAAATCCAAATTTGAAAGCAAAAAATAAAAAATAAAATAAAATAAATAAATAAATAAATAAAAGTAAACTAACGACATTATACTATTTTAGACTTGTTCTTATCATCAATATTGGACTTTCTGTAATGGTAAATATAATTTTTCTTACAGGCCAGCCGCCTTTTTTATTTATTCTAGGACTTTTCACCAACGACAGTTGATACAAAGTACTAATTTTAATGACGTTAGATGCCCAGAAATGTCACTCTAGAAATGTTTACATACACTTTCAAAAGGGCATTCCTTCAAAAAGGATGTTCGAAAGAACCCCCTAGCTACGGGCCTGACTTAAGTCAGGAATAGAGAGACATCCAATCGTTCCTAAAATCCCCGTCCTCCTCTAAGCCCTGACAGTTGGATATTGCTTTTAGTGCCCCATAGAACGACAGTTATGTCAACGTACGTTTGTGGGACATGTGCGTATTCCTGGCATTGTTGTGAGTGGTATGTTGTTATGTTAAATTTACTGGAAATATCCATTACATTAACATGTCATATGTTCCCACTATATTAGACACAATCAGGCCCGTAGCGTGTGGGGAGGGGGAGGCCGGGGTGTCCGCATTTTAAAACGAAAAATTGATATTCGTACAATGTTCTCCAAAGTATCGGAGATCATACAAGCCAAAAGGTCCACTTTCCACTAATACGAACCTCCCACAAATTAAGTCAAGCTACGGGCCTGATAATTAGGCAATCCGATCATGGAGGTATAAAATAGGAAATGCCCCAAACCCCGAATTCTTTAAAATAATTTGTAGAACAGTAAAAATATCAAGATTATTGTTTTATTTATTCCTAATAAAGGTAAGTGTCTAGTGTAATTTTCTTCTTATGTTTACATTATATTAACCCTGAGGAATGGAAAGGGTACAGTTCGCCTCCAATTCGACCACCACGTGAAAATTTGGTGTGGTCTCCGATTCCAAACTCCATCACGATTAGTGGTTGGTTAGTTAGCGGATGTCTCAAAACTTGTGAGGGCGGCATAGAATAATTGTTGGCAGATTGTTGGTATGCCTACTGTACTGTTCAATATCATTAAGCCTACATAATACATTATCTCTTCACGTCAAACTTAAACTTAGATTCTCTGTGGCGGACGCAGGGGGGTGCAGAGGGTGCGGTGGCACCCCCTAAATTCTTACGAAAAATAATTGTTGTATTATATTGTTGATATGAATTATTGGTAAGATTTTTAAAGTATGAGTGCAATTTTCCTGGCATCCAGAGCTCGATATTGTCAAAATACTCGCGCCTCAGCCCCAACCATGTTTGGGCTGAGGTGATGTGGACCCTTCACGGCGTTTTATAAAAATATTATTATTATTATTATTATTATTATTATTATTATTATTATTATTATTATTATTATTATTATTATTATTATTATTATTATTATGATTATTATTATTTTTTTTTTTTAAATTATTATTATTATTATTATTATTATTATTATAATACTATCATCAT